TTTCAGAATTGCACATAATAAACTGTTCTCCAGAATAAACAAAGTTTCTGATATTTGTATATAAACAGGTGCATTTTAGGGGTGGCACTTTCTCTTCCCTACCTCCTTTTTTTATTAACAAAAGAAAAGTTTTCTATGGCCATTTGCAAGAAAAAGACTTCCTTAAAAGGTGCAAAAAAAAGTCTTGTTCTTGCAAAAAGAAAAGATATTGCTTTTCTTTCTTTTGGAAAAGAAAAGGTGCCAGTTTCCTTTTCCTTAGGAAAGAAAAAGATATACATTGTATATTTACTCTTTACTTTTGAAATAAAAGATACCACTTTATCGTTACTCAGGAAAGGAACGAGAAAGTGCCACCCCTAGTGCATTTTCTTTGATACTAAGGAAATGTTTGAGACATGAATGAGACAACTCATTCCTATGATAACTAAATAGAGTTGGAGCCAAATGCCATGATAATGTGATTAGATATAGCAGTTTAGCTATAAGTGATTTCTCACGATTATTGAGGCAACGACTATTCAGAAAATATCCACGATTCAATAATACAAGTACCACTACCATTCGGCGATTATTCTTGGCACTAAAAGCGAGAATTGTAAGTACCAAATATTACAAACGAAAACTCAATCAAAATCATTGAAAACTCATCCGAGATTTCACATTATCTGTACAAAAGTCAGTTATATCAAAGAATTTTTCAGTATTCAACGATGAGCTAGTGTGGTTAAGTTGTAAAAACAAAAGAAACGTTTATTTAGCATAGCAAGATGTGCATGAGATCACGGCAGACTATTTTTACCATTTTAGATAAAATTTTTCTAAAAGATGGAGGCTCGTTTGTCATTTTTCTGTCGGTAGCAATTAATAATACCAGTGAAACTGTTCCAGAAAAATGTTAGCTAGCACACAGTTCCTACTAGAGCTTGACAGTTTTTCAAAATAATTCGAGTTTTTCAGGCAGTTCCATGAGAAAGAGCACATAGCTTGAAAAGTAGCAGTGAAGAGACTGGAAAGTGCGTCCGATCGAGAACATTTTAGCGAAAAATGTGCTAGAGTGATGTTTGTACAATATGCCAATATTTTGTTTCGCAAAATCTCACCGCGCGGTTCCCAACGCTCATAGTTAATTTTTCAACAGCGAATGATTTAGACAGATAACACTCCACGCGCTGGTGCTGAACGTTAAGATCATTTTGATTTTACCTTCCATGAATTCAAGCACTGACCTTTTCTTCGCATACGCCAATAGTCACCTTAGCGGTTATACTCATCATCAACCTATCTCAGAGCCCGTTGTATGTTAATCCGCCGAAAACAAGATTCAGCAACTTTTTCTACTTGTTTTTGTCTTTATATCTTTTGCACGAAAATTATTCTCAGCTCACGATTATTCCATTTTATGAAGAAACGTATGCTGAACACAGTGGCAGATCTCATAGCTCTAGTGAATTCTGGATATTGATGATTGCCAAGGATAACTAAAAAGCTTAAAACAGCTCCCATATTATCGATAAAAACAGAATGGATCTGAATATATTTTGAACAGCATTTATGGAAACAGCTTGAAATGAGTGATTTTACTTAAAATACTACTTTAACAATTTTTCAAACAACACCATGAGGCCTATTAAACGTCATTCAAAATATATTTACGTTCATTCTTTTTTTATCGACGATGTTGGAGCTGTTAAGATTTTTAGCTATCCTTGGCAATTGTTATCTCTCTATCTGTTTAAAATGAATTTGTTATTTAGACGGCCAGCCTGTCAAGAGTACCCACGATGAATTCAGGTAACTAAATTTCTTTTACGATATTGTAATCAAATCCTAAAATGACTAAACAGTAACTTAAAGACCTTGTGCTGCTCCTGTGATGGTAGCACTGGAGCATACATACACGGACAGGTTCTCGTTCACACCGTATCGTGCCACAATTTCGGTCTTATTTGATTTTCGTGATTAACTAAGTAGTCATATACCTGCTTTTCTTTATCGATTCTGATACTTTCTGAACAAGTATAATGTTTTGAAACACCAGTCGAAAGAGCAAAGTCTCAGATACTAGCTGAAAAAATTTCAAAATAGGATTTTTGTATGATTTTTAAATTTAAACTAAAAAGATTTGTCAAAGTTATCAAAAAATATTTTATTTTATTCTGAATTTGATTAATCTCATTTCAAATATACGATTAAAAACAGGGTTGTTCTTTCAAGAGGGGTACCACATTTACATGGACGTTGTGCGAATTGTTCGAGAGTAACAGGACTAGTACAACTCGGACTCCTAATGACGAATATCACGTTTAAAAATTTTTAAAACAACGGCATGATGGCTTTCTACACCTGTGGAAATCCCATTTCCCAGCAGAACAGTCCTTTTGTGGGCATTTTCATCATTTTTTAGTGAAACATTTTCATGAGCTGGTACCGTCAACTTTTCAAAACTATTTATAGAACGACATATGTTCTATATCCACATGGTTTTAGGTCAGCATTCCACTATATAGATTTTTGGAATGGCAAGCTCAGAAGTTTTCACACGAAAAGTGCACCATGGTAAACGTGTTCGGAAAGCCTAATTCTGTCAGAGATCGATATTCCCTGATGTCTACTTCGTGAAAGTGAAAACCATAGGTCGCTAACTCTTTCCATTCAAATGTTATTCAGAAAACATCAGATTACACTATATTTTGAAACCGATAGTAGTTGCATCTAGTGTCAAATCGCCCTGTACCAGATGCATTGCCCGAGATAGCACCTGATTTTAATTATAGGAGATACATAAATCGGGTTCAGACAATACATTACTAGTTGAATTGGCCGATATATCGTCCGATACATCGAGTAGTAGCCAATGCTAGATACACCGCTAGTTGCATCGCTCAGTACATCGGTAGATGTATCGAGTAAAAAGTCGATGTTAGATTTATAACCAGATATATGGTAGGTCAGTGGTATATATGACACAGTAGGTCAGTAGTATATTTTAGAATATATAATCTAAAAGAGCAAACATTTCTCTACAAAATGCACGACCAAACGATATTTTAACCGTGAAGGTGATGGAACGGCAATCAAATCTTTTACCGGAGCCAGAATGTCCATCTCTATTCCTGTTACAATCACTGGATCTAGTATCGTTCGGGATTGAAACAAATAGATTCAGAACGACAGTTGATGGAATTAACCAATTAATTCAAGCAATAAAGCGTAAACATCAACATATTAAACCTGCATTTATGACAATTTCACCTCAATTTGAACCAGGCATGAGAGAACCAGTAATTTTTTTCAAAACTGAAGCCGCTGCCGTCAGTTCCACCCTTATTAAAAGTCACTTTCTTCAATAAATTTTCTGTCGGTAATATTAAAAGATCAAAAATCAACGGGAGCGAATCTATATCTGTGCAATTCTGAAAATCTTGTGCAGACGTTTTAACACTTCAACTGTATCATCTTTTTACTATTTCTCTTGAAGGGAGTGTCTTTCCCGATTTAGAGAAAGCGCCCATTGTGAGATCCACAAAAAGTGAGCCGTTTCGTTTGTTCAAATTATTGACCTATTTCTCTTGTATCTAAGGTCAGTAAGGTCTCCGAGAAGATTGTGCACAAAGCTCTATGCCATCATTTTACGACTGAGAACTTTTTCCAATCCTCAATTCGCCTTTTGCTCATCCTCTTCAACACTTGACGCTGTACTGTGTTTCACCATCAAGCAGGGTTCTTTTATCGATAATAAAAAATAATTAACTGGGCTGGCTTTTCCCGTTGCAAAAGCTTTTGACATAGTTCCTCACCAGCTCCTCCTAAACTACTAAGAAAACGTCTGTAGCTGGTGTGGACGAACGCTTGTGTAACTGGTTTTCTTCTTATTTGTGTGCATGCAATCAACTTGATGTTGTGAACTCTGTTCTTCCTAAAACTTGAGTCGTGCATTCCGGACTTCGGTTCTTGGACCTCTCTTATTTCTTATTTTCATCAACGACCTACTGAAAATATTATCTTCACATTGTGTAGTCCTTCGTCGCTGACGATGGCTATTGTCTGCCACTAGTATCCGATAAAATGTCAGTGTGGTGCTCTGAAAATGTTTGTGGGGCTAAATGTTGTAAAATGTTGTTTCATGACGTTTTCAAATAGTGTTTTATCATCAAAAACCTGCGATAATTTAATTTTCAATCAACACATTCTCAATAGAGAGAAGAATTTTGAAACTGTCAGGTGGATTTATTGTAATTGGTTCTTTTATCGATAATGGATTTATTGTAAGTATTTATGTTGTTCTTTTTTTGGATTTGTTGTCTTTAACGTAACCTTATTCACTGCTCCTCTCCATGTTTTGTTTATTTGCATATTTTTAAGTGCTACGCTTGTCCAGTACTTATCTTTTTTATAAACTCTTAGCTTTTCTCACCAACTAAATAAATGAAATTCTTCTTTTATTTAAAAGTTATTATCTCTGTTGGGTATGGTTAGTTTGTTGTCTCATTTGGATTAAGTCGCACCTTGTACTTAGCAGCAGGAATCCCAGATCTTCTGATTTAGGTACGAAAATTCTGATTTTTTGTTTTTTTTTGCCTTCTAACGTAGTCTGGTTTAAATTTCTTTTTTTGAGCTTTTTCTGGTTTTCATGTTTTAGATCAGATATTGCTTAGCAGTGATTTTGAAACGGCCAAAAAATCGAAAAGAAGGTACAATTACATAAACTGAATAGCAAATAGCAGCATTTTTTAAGTTTGAAACTAAAATAAATTTAGTGTTGGCATGTGTGTTACTGAGATCTTTCTTCCAAGGCACAATTCATATTTCCTTTGATGGATTAGATATAAGAATTAACGAAAAACAATAGAGTACCATGGACTAGCAAGAGTCAGTCCTCAAAATTTTGCCAGTAACTTCACTATTTCTCATTCGTTTTTAAGAGAAAAGAATTGGATATTAACCAGGATGGTAGAGCCGATAATTGTCCAATGTAAACTCATTTTAATGCTTCGTTTCAGATGATTCGACAAATTATAGATCGAAAAGTCAAACTAAAAATAAAAACAAGTAACTGTCGCAAGTTATCGGGAAGGCAAAGTCCCGCCTACATTGAGAAAGTCCATCAGAATATGGAAGATATAACATTGGTTTGGTTTGATAAAAACATTGATGTTAGAACAGATACAATACAAACACGAAAAATGCTTCGAGAAATTAATGACTACGTTATTTTTCATAGGCAATTAGATGAATGTGTTGAATACATAAAATCAATTGAAAACCAAAAAATATTTTTCGTTACATCAGGAGCATGTGCAGAAAGCATTTTACCGTTAGTACAAAAAATAAGACAGATCGATTCCATTTTCATTTTTTGTATGAGAAAATCAAAGTATGAGCATTTAATGGATGAATATACGGAAATCATTGGAATTTATACTACACAAGATGAATTAGTTAGTTCAATCCTTGAAAATGTTCATTTAATTGAAAAAAACTTGCAGACGTTTAGTTTTTATGATCAACAACAAAAATTAACTCGAGATCTAACGAAAGAAGCAGCATCGTTTTTTCGATTTCAATTATTCATAAAGGCCATGTTGAATATGCCCAAAACTTCAGAATCTAAACAAGAAATGGTCTCAAAATGTCAGGAATATTATCGTGGAAATAATAAAGAATTAAAATTTATACAAGAATTTAATAAAACGTATAAATCTACCGATTGTATTCGTTGGTATACGAAACAATGTTTCCTTTATAAATTGATTAATAAAGCATTACGAACAGAAGATATAAAACAATTATATACGTTTCGTTTCTTTATTGTCGACCTTTGCACGAGTCTTGCTCAACAATATAGACAAATACGTGACTCATCCATCGTTCATTTATATCGTGGTGTTAAAGTATCGAATGATGAATCTGAAATGCTGAAAAGTAGCATAGATCGATTAGTATCAATAAATGGATTCCTATCAACAACTCGATCTCGTCATCTTGCTTTAAATTTTGCCACAAAACCAACAAAACGAATGGATATTGTTCCAGTTCTATTTGAAATTGAAGTTGACAGAACACAAACAACGACTGTTTTCGCAGATATATCTGAATGGAGTGATTATCCTCAAGAGCAAGAAGTGTTATTTGATGTAGGGGCTGTATTTGAGATTTCTAATGTTAAAGTCAATGAAGAACAACATGTTTGGATAATTAAAATGAAAGCAATAAATAAAGGCTTGGAATGGATTCAAATAAGCAGAAAAGAACTGGAACAATTATGTACTCCACAAGGAACTGGCAAATTATGTGAACTGACTTTGAGTTTCACTACAAGTATGGATATAGCTCATGATAGACGATTTGTAATAGCTGGGCTTAATTCCGATGAATTTACTTCTATAATTGAAAAATTGAAAAAACACACTGAGCACCTAATCATTCAAATCGATACTTTTAAAGAGTTTGAAGCATATGTAAATTCAAATACAAATATGAAAATAACAATGTTCATGGGAAACCAACAGTTTCTCTATTTCTCATCGATTATACAAGATGTCGATGCAATTGAGCATGTCTATGTACTCGTCGACCAAAGTGATAAACATTCAACGGAGCCGAATTCGAACTCGAAAGTAGAGTTAAAATTTTCGTCTGTAAACGATCTTTTGTCGGAATTGGTAGATCAGCTGGCAAATGAATATCTAGAAAAAGCGGAATTCCTTGAAAAAAAAGGTGAAATTAATTTAGCAAATGAAAAGCATGACATTGGACAAAAAATATACGAAATATGGATGAACCATGATGTTCAGCCATCAGGTATGAAACCACCTTATTTTCAGTTGCACACATTTGACTTTTTTGATACGTGTAATATAAGCTTAGCATTATTTCGACTACATGTCTCACTTTCCCAAACGATTTAAGTGCTTTGAGCCCATCCCATTGCTTTGTGTTAACACTCCAGTTTATCATAAAACTATCAAACATTAGCGGAGAGATAACCGTTTTGTAAATATTAGAAAAACGTTTCTTCGGTTAGCAGCACTAGATGCGACAATATACCCTTTCTTGTCGAAAGTATTGTATTTGCTTTATTAATATTAGCCATTTTAGAATACAAACCATCACAATGTGCCACAATGGGACAGTTGTCATTTCTTTTATTTCAAACGAATGCCGCTGACCAAGCGTTAATTATTAAAGAAAAATTTGAATTGGCAACGGGTACAATACTGTTTTCTACCAGCAGTGAAAACCGTTGTTTAGAATATTTACAATTGAATGCGACGAAAAATTTTTTAATAATTGTTTGTGGAAATGATTTACCAGAAACAATTTCGAATTTTGCCAGACATTTTCCACAAATATATGCTATATATCCTTTCGGTGTTAACAACGTTTTAGGTACCAGTGAAAAAATTCGAGGTGTTTTTAAGAACGAAAATAATCTGTTCTATCAACTAACAAATGATATTATTGATTATTATACTCACGAAGCTGACGTATACATGCGTTTGGCTCAACATAAATTGTCTGGTGACAAATATCAAGAAGCATTTAAATGGGCTACAATACTAGATCAAATGTTGAAAAACTCATTATAAATTACCGTTGCATATTCATTAATTAAGTACTTTCTTCATTCCTGTCTTTGAACTTTTTTACATGAAATAAAAAAATCAGATAAAATCTTTATTTTTTTCATCTCGATAGGCAGAATAGGAAAATGCATCGAATTCATGAACTGAAACCGATTTACTGACATTGATGTTTCTTTATTTTCAGATAATGCTACCAAATTGAGTGAATGTTGTCTAATACCGACTACGAGACGAACGATGATCTCGTTCTTTGTCTCGAACAACAACAGCGCAAACATTTAAGTCAAGTGGAAGAATTTCTGAATGATAGAAATATTACGTTTGCAAAATTTTTCAACAATACTCTTCAATGTCGAGAATACATGCATGGTAAAAGTCACAAAAGGTTTACTGTTTTTGTTTCGAGCGATAATGTATTAGAAATGCTGTACTACTTCAAAAGCTTTAAACAAGTGAGACATATTTACATTTTTTGCGTGGATTCCGACTCGTTTAATGCAATGCAACAGAAATGTAGTAAATATCAAAAAGTTCAGAAGATATTTATGCAAGACCAAAACAGGTTAGAATACGAATTAATACACTTTGGTATTAACTATTGCCAGGAAATTGGAGATCAGCACAAAAAAGCTGATAACATAAGAATAGCTGAAATGTGTTATCAAGATGCTCAACGATTGGCATCAGCACAAGTCGAGTACTTGAAGAAGAAACTTGAACAACAACGAACACAAGAAAGGATACCAACACAAATTAGTGAACAAAACGAACCAGAAGTATCTGATCATCCAATATTAAACAGAGAAAAAATCGGTTTGTCTCCTTCAATGGACATGTTAGCAAGTAGATTATAGTGACATTTCAATCCTAGTTGACCGAACGTATAGAAAGGTATTATCAGAATTCATCGGCATCTAGATATTCATCCTAAGTTGTAGACAAACATCCATTCATAAGCATAGAATTAAAAGGCTCAAGACAAATTAATCAAGAGAAATTAATCATATGACTCCGTATATAGTGATATATTTACTACTAGAATAATCAATTTCATTTTTGTGCAAAATGTTCAAAAGTTTTCTGTTTATTATTGTTCGTTGAGTAAAGGATAAAACTGGATTGTTATTATCGCTGTAGCACATGTGTACCGGATAAACAATTAAATTTACAGACCTTTCAGAATTTGTCCAAAAACTTAATTTTTTTTGCCACTGCGCCAACTAGCGTAGTCTGTAAACTACACCAATATTCATCATCATCACGTAGACAATCAAGTTTCACATCACAACATGTAGCAAATTTAAATTCATTGTTTAAACACAAAACATCTGAAGGATCATCATTATCACATCCGGTATTTTTATCCTAACTTTCTCTTTTATAGAAGCACAATGCATCATCTTTATGATTTTTACAACGTGTATCATTGGTGCATAAGTGATGATAATCAATATACTATATATTATTATTATCGTTTTGATCTACGAAACGGTAACCCATTTGATTGGACAAGCAATCTGATAAAATATTTTTATCATCTAGTCCTCCAATAAAACTTACTTATCCCATTGCCAACTCGATTTCGATCAATACATGGTTGCTTTTCACTAATATTTAATGGATTTTTATCGGTCGCTAATAGACTACGATATTCTTTTGAAACATTACAAATCATTGAACAGGATTGTTTTTGATATAGTGTCATACATTTGTCTTTCATTTCAGTTAAATCCATGATCCCTTCATAATGCAATGATAATTTATTAATTGTAATCATCGTTTGTTCATCTGAAGTATTATTGCAATCTTATTCACCTAAAAATACCAGCCAACAAGTATAAAATATCATTTATAGAAAATTTTATGCATTTACACCAAGGGGAAGAATCTCACTTTAACTGTGTGCACCTCAGAGTTAAGTGTTGCTTTAAGTGTTTAAGTTGAAAATTGAAATTTATTGTTCTATAATGAAGTTAACAATAAGAAATACACATAAATAAAATTCATTAATTCAAAGAAAATCATAAAAGGAGAACAGGAAAACATATTTTGTTTCTATAATCTTTCACAATCAGTTCGATACAACCATATAAAATTCCATTAACAAAATTACATGGTTAGTAATGGTTGAATATAGAATTTATACACAAAAATGGATAGAAAAGACAAAGATTTAAAGGATGCATATTGAGTCCTATGTAGATTTTCAAATGCAAACCAATCGATAAGTGTGTGTTGAGCTTTCAAGGCAAGACGATTCGGAAATTTACTATCCTTTCTAAAACCGCAGGTCTTATACCAGGACGTGGATGGGGTAGTTGCAATCAAAAAGGCAGTCCATGTCTGTTGAAAGGAGAGTGCTTCAGTTGATTCGTCAAGATGTTTTGAAAATTTCATCCAGTGATTATATATATAATCGTTTAATGAGTATTCTCTACTCAAAATTAAGATGGTTATATCGTCAAAATTCCTTAACTTATACACAATTCTTAAACCGCTATAATATACATGTTCTATTTGTTGCTTCTGTTTATCTGTAAAAAAGAACCATATAGTAAATAACCACATAAAATGAGGTAGGACAAATGAAAGAAATAGTTTTCTCCTTAATTGTATTCCATTTTTTGGAATTATACAAAACATTATTCTCAGCGCCTTATAAATTTTTCTTATCTTTTTTATTCTGTCGTTTATGAAATTACCCCATTCCATTTTTGTACTGATATTAATACCTAAATATTTATACGTTTTAACGTATTCTGTTTTCTTTCTTTTATATTCTAATTTAGGGTACGATGGTGATACGACATTGTGTACTAAAAGTGCTGTCGTTTTAGAAATATTTACAGGAAGAATATTATCATCAGCAAATTTTCCCAATGATTTTAGCACTATTTTTGCTCTCTCCTCTAATTCTATGACATTAAGCGAGAATTTCTTTTCTAAAGAGCTACTTATAACAATAGCTAAATCATCAACGAATAAATGTGTTATCAATTGAAAAAACTACTGTGGCAAAAAGTGTACATGAAGTCGAAACAGAGTCGCCGCAAGTATTGATCCGTGAGGCGCTCCAACAAACATTTTAATCTGTCTTGAGGTAACATTTCCATAGTGAATCGAAAATGATCTATCTTGTAACCAAGAATAGATCCAACGTAACAACTGAAGAGGCATATTTAATTCTTGCAGATTAGCGATAAGCGTAGGAAACCACATTTTGTCAAAAGCAGATAAAAAATCCACAAATATTACCAAAACAGGTCGATTAGATGCAGCTACTTGAAGTCTTAGTTCTTCACAAAGAGATATAATATGGGTTTGCAAGCGTCTACCTGGAGTAAAACCCGATTGTTCGTCGACATAAATATTGTTTTCCGCGCACCATTTTAATATTCTTTGATGTATAATCTTTTCATATCATTTACCTAAATTCGGTAACAAAGAAATCGGACGTAATCGATTTTTCTCAGGGTAGAGTCCGTCTTTCGACAAACATATCACCTTTGCATGTTTACTATTGTCAAAAAATAAACCTTTCTCTGCACACTTATTAAATAAAATTGTAATAATTTTAAAGTATTCCTCTGGTAATTTTTTCAATAGAAATGCTGAAGTATTAGAGCTATCAGTTGATTTCTTAGGTTTAAAACTTTTTCACGTCTTTATTACTTCATTAATTGTTACTTTTTCTAAAGGTATATTAGGCGTATTTGCTAGCTGATTATAGATTTGTATTGACTCTAAATGTTTTTTATTACATATATCATATTCAGGTTCCTTATAATGTTCTTCATAAAAGTCAGCTAACAAATTAACTATTTCTTTTTCATCTTTTATTTTCTGCAAACGGCGTTGTTATGCCTCTAATTGATGATTGATAAGAGTAAGACACAGGTTTAGCGTACTTCCATATATTATTATCCATCTTCATCCAAAGAAACTGTTTTTCTCTTCTCTCGTTCTGATATTTTGCTCTCTCTTCAGAAACTATTTCTTTCGAAAACAGATAATCCTTTAAATGTGTCATACAACGTGTTTTACGATATCTTCTTCTGTATTTATTTACCGTTTCTGCCAAATACACTAACTCATACGGCTATGGCGGTCTATACTTTTTTATTGATACATATCCACTACATCTTTCCCATAGGGGTGACAAAAATTGAGAGAAGAACGAAAAGAATTCTTGTTCATCAATGTTATATACTAGTGAATTAAAATATTCATATACACACTTCAGAAAAAAAAGTAAAAACATTCCAGTTCGTTTTACGAAAGGAAGCATTTTCTGACAATGATAAGGATGATTGAAAAAGAACAGGGAAATGGTCTGATGTACCTTCATCTAATACTTCCATATTCCAATCTGTATCATCATTAGTCAGACAAAAATCTATTACCGCTTCAGATTTTCTTGATGTTGGTTTTCTTGGTGCAATTAACAGACAGCCTGTGTCTTCTAACCATTTTAACAAGTGGTTCCACTTACATTATTCACTTTACAATACCATTAGGTATGTTTTGCATTAAAATCTCCGAAAATATAAAAATTTTTGTTTATATACTGCTGAAAAAAATTTAGTCAATTTTGCATGCCGAATCAGAAAAACAAATAGGTTCAAAATGATAGACCAGGAATAAATACGAAAATTTTGGTAGTTTCTCAGACTTTCATGTATTGTTGCCTCTTTTTAAAAATCAATATTTTGGAAATTATCCACCCAAAAACGACCACAGAAAATCTTAAATCACTTTTTTTCTATCTCACTCGATGAGCTCTATCCAACAATAGCAAAGAGAACGAAAAAAATTCTGCTACCTTTTTGCATTAGCGGCACCTTACATGTACACCAGTGAACACATATGTATGTTTTCACATGCATGTGTGATGATATCAAACGTGAATAAGAAATAAAAATGAAATCAAGATCAATTCGAGAGACAGTAAAAGGTAGAGAGAGAAAAAGAAACAAAACACACTGTTGTTCTTCTGAAAATCTTTTTGAAGGACAAGGATGCTCTAAAAAATGCATGATATATAACCATCAGATAAGCATTAACTGCATGATATAAAAAACATTCTTTAGAAAGTATCACATAGAAAAAGGCTAAGACCGAGGATGAGAGTGTTTGTTATCCTTGAGACTTTTTTTATAAGAGTTTTATATATAACACACAGTCTAGATAGCAATGCCGAATAGTCTGTGTGCAGAATAAAATTACATTTGGAGAAAAACGCAGAAAATATGACATTCCAGGATAGTGATGAAGCATAGTATGCACCTACATGTGCATAATACTCGACATAAACTTAGCTATATTGGAGTTTTCATCTTAACAATAAAATGATGTGGATCTAGCAAAAAAGCTGGTTCTTTGAGGTCAGGTTGTGTGCTATATTACGTAATATTGATTTTTGATGTGGCTGTCTGAAATGAACTAATCCTATAATCTGCCGTTTATCATCCTTGTCTTTATATAACTTTGGATCTTTATTTTATTGTCTAGTAATCATGACTGAAATATTTGATGTCAAATTTTTTAAGCAAAAAAGAGAGAAGTGAGTTTCAATTTTAAGATTTTTTGTTTCGTTATATTTGCTTTCATACACAGCAGCCACAAATCTTGCTTAAACGAAAAACAATCGTCTCATGAGTATAATGCTGAATCGATATCGAATCTATTAAAAAATTTCTGTTTACTGTCAGGTTTTTGATGATGAAAAATCGACTGGAATACTTTCTAACCAAATATAAATTTTTGCATGCTTTTATCGTCCCACTAATTATCGTTGTCTTAAAATATGATAGCACGCTTGTACTAAAATGAAGTATTGTTTTTGACAGAGACTTCTTTATTTTAATATACCACCTACAATCTATTTATCTTTTGATAAGAAGCTGAGATATACCTATTATTTGGACGAATACATGTTTCCGGTTCGCACGTGTTTAATCCGTCAATTATCTACTTCACACTAAACTAAAACAAAAAACTATACAATACAATACCATACATATAGAAGAGAGAGAAGCAGATAGAGTATGTACAGAGTAAAGGAGAGAGCGAATGAGAATGACTATTACATCTTTTTGCGCTAAATCAAAGTTTACGTGTAAAAATAACGTCATATTAAAATATTTGATACTAAATCATTTAATTTTCATTTCTTACTATTGTTATGAAAATCTTTATGAAGAGCAAGGATGCCTTCTTACGTTTCTTTTAGACAATAATAGAAAAAAAAAATGGCTTAAGGATACCACCCCCGTCCCCTCCTCTTTTTTCACCTTGCTGGTAAACACACGTCCGATCGAGTTCAAACTCATACCCGAGATAGTACACCGATAAAGAAAATCTATGTATTTTTGCTCAGGATTTTCTGACACGATCTTCTATGGGTTTTCTAGAAAACTCCAGTTTCCATCCAGTCATATTATGACCCCTCGAAAAACGGTCCGATCGAGTACAAACATTCACCACATATATTTCAAATCCTATTTCAGGTTCTAAACTATTTTTTCCAAAAAATATGCTTTTTTTTTCTTCGTAAGATATACGAAAATCACCGAAAAAAGCGAAAAAGTGCAGCAGTTTTCGTATATCTGGAGAAGAAAAGCATGCTTTTTGGAAAAATTAGTTTAGAACCTGAAATAGGGTCTGGAATATAAAAAGTCCAAAAAATATTTTAATCATCTGATAGTAGTATGAATTTTACTATAAAGACTCATTGATTGGAGTTAATATACTAGTAGAACAAAAATGTTTTTACTGTCCATTAACTGGGATCAGAATTCAAAACTGAATTTTTTAAGAGTACTCCTCTCCCTCTTTCCTATTAAGACTTTCGATTTTCTGATTACATATGCCACAATATATAGTTAAGCGCCCCATATAGAATGAGACGTCGCTCCGCTCTCTGTGATCTTTTCTTCTGTAGTTATGTACTTTTTAAGATTGGCAACTACAGATCCTAATTGCTCTTTGTTCACTTTCCAACAAAACGTCTACAGGCGTGGTGACTAGTTGAAACGTTTTCAAACACTTATGAGAGAAAGCAAATCTGAAGTAGTTTTAATGAGCGATTAAGATAGTTCAATATTCGTTAATTGTACGGTCATCTCTAGTAGAAGAGATTTTATACTGTGTCTGTCTGTTGTTGTCTGTGAGTAATAAATGTGTACTCAATTTTACTATCTGAATCAATTGTTATCATCATAGCATGTGATATGAATTCATTAATACTTTAGCATTGGTTACCGTATCGAACTCTTAGACAAAGTATTAAAACTGATACTGTATGGATAGTTGAACGGGAGAACAAGAACTTGAGAAGAGATTGGAGAGACGTTCTCATCGCATAGAATATGCGTCAATTCTGTAGTAACAAGGTCGTGTTACAACAGAATGAATAATAATTCCGACAGTACATTCATTCGCCTAACAGGTAATGGACTTAGTGAATCGATACGATGCGCGTTAGTTATATTTTACAATTTTATCTAAGCGTGTTAACCCTTTAACATATACTAACTCGCGACGGGTGGGGGTGAAAAGGTGAGGGTGAAGTGAGTGAAGAACTTGACAGATTCGGGATGCAGAACTGACTATAGAGAAGCAAAATTTGGCAGTTTCCGTAGTTCAAATGGAGTGAGATTTTGAGAAACCCGAGTTGAATCAGAGAAGAGCCTCTGTTCACCTTGCAAACCTATCTAGTTTTTCTGATTAAGAGATAAACTTTTGTTTTTATCGTCATTCGAATCATCATATCAATGGAGAAAAAGGCATGGATCGCTTTTTTGAAAATATTGTATCTTCATGGATAAACTATACTTTCTTTTTTCTTGAATTTTGTGTGCCGAAATGGGGATGGTCAACTTCGAGCAAAAAGTTGAATTTTCATTGAAATCTTGCCAACATATAAGCATATACGTAAAATACGATGTCGAATTCAACAGATATAAATTAAATTTCTCAAAAGACTTTCAGAGGATCTTTAGGGGATCTCTGGAAAACTTTCCTCTAAAACTTAGTCTTTTAATTTGGGCTTTTAATGTGAATGTTTCCATATATTTACATACATATATATATATATGGGTGTTTTTCAAACCGCGACGTTGTGACACTTTTGACCGTTTTTTGTCACAGTGTCACGATTTTTTCTGATCTTTTAATGAAAAATTCAAAAATCAAAAATCAGATGTTAATAATGTCAACATACTATTATGAGTAGTCTTCAACGATGTTATTTGAGCACCCTGAATGAACAAAAGAGCAATGATAGTCTTTTTTAAAAATAATAATAAAGGACAGTAATAAAACGAACAACAAAATTCGACACTAATTAACGAAGACCATTCTTTAAGAAAAGTATAACTAAAGCAGCGGTTTTAATCATTTTTAATTTCCAACGTTTCGATTTATTAAAAAATCATTGTCAAGGATATATACAGAAAACAAAAGATTTTCATTTAAACTGACTGGTATAATTTATATTTATATACTGTACGATTTCCTCTCTTCAAGTATTTTTCTTTTTACTATCTTACCTTTCTTTTCTAGCAAAAAAAATAGAAAGAAAACAATTTGTTACATTCTTGTCAGACCGTTACAGACGGCATCTGTGACAGTTTTAACTGTTTTTCTCGCAATCGAGGTGATTGACGGGGAACTATCGAGGGAACATTCCAAAGTGAGGCACTCCGACTTTGATCAAACCTGGCAATTTATATGTAATCAAGGGGGCTGATTACGAATATGATTGCCATTTGTATCCATAGACCTTTCCTAGCGTTTCTCTGGAGAATCGATTTTCCGCAAATCTCCTGGAACCCTAGCAATGCTTTATCAACATGTTGGGATTGTAGCCTGAAAATTTTACATCAAAATGAGACGCTTCCCAGCTCTCCATGTCCTTTCTTTGCAAAGTTACAGAATTTACAAGAGGAAAAAGGAAAGCCCTAAATGTTCATCGTCAGCTCACAGATATAGAAAGAAAAAGGAAAATTAATTTAAGGCTTCTCTTGTAAACTACTAACAGCTATCAGATTCGTAATTAGCGCCCTTGATTACATATAAATTGCCAGGTTTGAACAACCTCGGAGTGCCTCACGTAGGAATGTTCTCTCTTTAGCTAAAAATTAGAGGAATTTTCTAGTTTTGAAGTTTTTGTTAAATTTTCCCAGTTTGTAGAGGACACTTCAAAGTATATGTTCTGAAGGTTTTTCGGCTTACTGACATCGTCTGGCTACGGAAAAAGGACCGATCGAGTCTCGTGTTTTTACTGTATCACCTATCTCGGCATCAGATCTTTCATCATTCATCCATTGAAATCCCAGCTTGGCGAAAAGGTTTTTGAGGGCACCATGTTCTTGAGGTCTGTGCCGTTCAGTTTTTCAGACATAGCTGTCATTGCAATCACCACATTTTGCTGAAGATGTTTCTGTTTTACTTTCTGTTTTATATTCTAGAAAGAAAGGTAAGATAGTAAAAAGAAAAATACTTGAAGAGAGGAAATCGTACAGTATATAAATATAAATTATACCAGTCAGTTTAAATGAAAATCTTTTGTTTTCTGTATATATCCTTGACAATGATTTTTTAATAAATCGAAACGTTGGAAATTAAAAATGATTAAAACCGCTGCTTTAGTTATACTTTTCTTAATGAAAATTATACCAATTACAAACAAAAATGAAAACCATTCTGCTCATTATTAGAGTATAATAACTATATATATTTTACAGTGGAAAAAAAGCTATTTATCTCTCTAACCCAGGTACGAAATGTTCAACGGAAAAAATTAAAAAGAAAAACAATGAATACTGATAAATATCCGTATGTGAGAGCAATCGTTGAAGCAGTTGAAGCATTCGTTGAAACAGTCGCTGAAGCAGTTGAAGCAGGCGTTGAAGCAGTTGAAGCAGGCGTTGAAGCAATCGTTGAAACAGTCGCTGAAGCAGTTGAAGCAGGCGTTGAAGCAATCGTTGAAACAGTCGCTGAAGCAGTTAAAGCAGGTGTTGAAGCAATTGAAGCAATCGTTGAACCAGTCGCTGAAGCAGTTGAAGCAGGCATTGAAGCAGTTGAAGCAGGCGTTGAAGCAGTTGAAGCAATCGTTGAAGAGACGGACTCAAATCCATCGATAGTAACGTTCTTTTCTAGATTCGCACGTATTTCTTTGAATATTTCCGGTCGACTACAATCATCCGCTCGACAGAATATATCTATTTCCCAAACATTAAAAATTTTTGAGTCTAAATAATAGATTGCATCGATTTCGATTCGATGAGTATCGAGATCATATGCCGGCGATGATGCCTCTGTAAAACAACTAGATTGATAGCAAAACTCACCACTGTCAGGATTTTCAAAATATTCACGTAAGACACACGTGTCATTACAAGCCTTCTCCGGACATCGACCAACATCAAGAAAATCGTCAGTGCCGCAGTTAGGATCATCTGAACACTCATGACAGCTTCCTGGATTCGAACCAAGAATGAAGTTGCTTAACCAACTCTCTGGTAGGGCTAATGAAAAGCTGTTTGGCAGCTTCGGCACGAGATCGGGTGAATTACATCGATCCCAGTCACAACCATAAATTATACCGTCTGGATTTGTGTCCCATTCTTTCGCTGAATCGTTATAATGAATTACTTCACGAATCGATATATAGTGTGGATTTTTTATGCTGTATTTCGAACTATTTCGCGGCAAAAAGCCGAGATAAGTGCTGTAACCCTGATTTTTATGATCACGATTGATGATACAGTAGGTTATATCTGTTTCTTGAACGTCTGTTGTACTACATGGACAATTCAGACTGTTTGCAGGACAAGCACATGTGTAACATTCACGACCATTAGCTGGAAAGACAGCAGCAGCAAGAAAAACGGCCGATGGTAAGTAAAAGAACATTTTTACTACTGAAATAACGTTCGCTACACTGTGCGACGTATATATACCTTTTTCAAATGAGGTGATTAATATAGTTATTTATTACGGAGAGCTGTAAAATAATTAATTTTATTATTTTTTCAGTTCTTTATCTCTTTTTATACATTTGCCGTGATTATTAAACGAATGTCGTAGGATGTCATAAAAAATGAAAAATTCTTCTTCTGTTTTATTGCACCGGGTAACCATCATAGAAGTTTTAAGTCATCTATCAAAAAGGCTGTTTGGATTGATGCTTAGAAACGCTTCAGTGTTTGAGTGACGAACATTTACTTTATTGTAAATATCGATGTTTCGACGACATAGGCAGGTGAGACTTGGACGGCTTGTAAGATGATAAGCCAGATGTCTTAATGACCTCTCGTGTGTAATAGTGATTATGACCTTTAAAACCACTGGACAAATTTGCAAATATGACTTATTTTTTTTTTAAACTTGTTTCTTATTTATTTAACGCCAACTGGAAAAAAAAGTACAAAGCTAAGAAGAGCAGGCAAATCGAAATAAAATCATTATATGCCTAGATCTATTCGACAAAATGACACATCAATAAAACAGATAAGAGAGTAAAAGAAAACAAAAAAAAAAATGAGGGATGGTGATGAGATAGATAGAGAAGTTTAAGTAAGCAGAGAGAACTTCATCCACGTGACACTGTGTAAGAACAAACAATACAGAAGCATCAAGTCAATCAAAGCGTTTCGTTAAACGAATATATTGAAGAATAAAATTAAAAACTGATAGTAGGTCATCTCTATTCAATGTACGGATAGAGTGATGGTGGAGAAGTATGTGGTCTAAAGTGATAGAACAATTTATAATACTGCGTATCTGTTGAAACATACCCTGTCGCTGCTCTTCATAATCAATACACTCGAAAAAGAAGTGTTTTACTGTTTCCTTATCAGCGCCACAGTTACATGCCGAGGACTGTGCTAAGACATGAGTGAAAAGAGGTACATTTAACGGAGGAAAACCTAGTCTACAGCGTGTATGGTGAATTTCAAGAGAACGGTCCTGCACTAAAGGAATATGAAAGGGTTGAACATATTGAGAAGTCAGGTAACATTTAAAGTCTTTTAGACGGTGCAACTGTTTAGCATTGTCGTGCAGCACGACAATGCTAAACAGAATATGACTTATGCTTTGTAACCGCTTAAGGGGGAGAGGGTCCCCATTTAGATTTTCGTCTAATGTTCCCAGTTTGTAGAGGATACTTCGAAGTATAGGCGCTGAAGTTTTCTCAGCTTACTGATATTTTTTTGGTTGAGAAAAAAATTAATTAGTCTAAAAAATATTATAAAGTTTTTGAACAAGGGACTCTTATTAAAAGAACTCCTGTCCATTCTTCATTCATCATAAAAACTTGGTTCTTCTCTAGGTCGATAGAGAAATGCGTGGCGAATATTTAATAAGATAAAATATGTAAAAATTTTTCTTCTTTCCTTCCTGTTATTGACTAATTAGCACTAATTAACGTTAATTTGGTCTACTCCACTAGCTTACAGTCCCATTTAAAAAATAAAGACTCAACAAAGAATTTAAGCAATACCTCGTCTGATAGACAATTTCACGGGCTACAAAATCGACTAGCTTAAGAGTTTTAGAATCCAATTCATTCATTAGAATGCTCTTATAACAGCCCCGCGCTCAAAAATTTAACAACACTTTTTTAAGTAATTAACCTTTTTCGCAGTCAGACAATGTCAGTAAGCCGAAAAACCTTCAGAACATATAATTCGAAGTGTCCTCTACAAGCTGCGAAAAATTAACAAAAACTTCAAAACTAGAAAATTCCTCTAATTTTTAGCTAAAGAGAGAACATTCCTACGTGAGGCACTCCGAGGTTGTTCAAACCTGGCAATTTATATGTAATCAAGGGCGCTAATTACGAATCTGATAGCTGTTAGTAGTTTACAAGAGAAGCCTTAAATTAATTTTCCTTTTTCTTTCTATATCTGTGAGCTGACGATGAACATTTAGGGCTTTCTTTTTTTCGCTGATTACCAATATGATAGCCATTTGACTATAGACCTTTTCTTTTGACATAGACCTTTCCTAGCGTTTCTCGGAGAATCGGTTTTCCAGAAATCTCCTGAAACCCTAGCAATGTTTCATCAACATGTTGGGGTTGTAGCCTGAAAATTTTACATCGGAATGAGACGCTTCCCAGCTCTCCACGTCCTTTCTTTGCAAAGTTACAGAATTTACAAGAGGAAAAAAGAAAGCCCTAAATGTTCATCGTCAGCTCAGAGATATAGAAAGAAAAAGTTGATGAAACATTGTTAGGGTTTCAGGGGATTTCTAGAAAACCGGGTCTCCAGAGAAACTCTAGGAAAGGTCTACGGGTACAAACGGCTATCAGATTCGTAATTAGCGCCTTTGATTACATATAAATTGCCAGGTTTGAACAAACTCGGAGTGCTTCACCTGAGAATGTTCCATCGTAAGTGAACTATTTTTACAACACCTTGAACCAAATTTCGCTCGAAGGAAGCGTTTTCAAGGAAAAGAGTGGGTACAAAAGTTGTTCAGAATCAGATTCTCTGGAATATGAACGAGGGGTTTTTAAAATTTCGTTAAGCTGGACTTTTGAATTAAATTTTACAAACTGTTAAAATTTTAAAAGCTGTATTTTTCAGTTTAAAAATCGAGTGCCAAGAATCGTTTTGTATTTTAGATGACCATTTGGTAAATAGAAACCTCATGGATTCTTCCATATCTCTTTTAAAAGTCTCTGAGATAAAACGATTTTTCAAATCCGGTGATACTATAGTAGTTCTTTTCTAGGGAATGAGGCATGACGTTGGAGTTCAACAAAATGTTTAAACAAAAAAAACTCAGTTTTAGTCGAGATTTTTTACCATAAAGCCACACTGTTAAGCTACATTTATCGGAATAATTTTCATGCTACATTAAGCATGATTCTCGAGAAAATTTCAGTTTTACTAATTTTCCTCCTTGATCGCGGTGTCCATTGCAGCATCTATAACTGGAGGAGGAAACAGTTTTTAAATGTTGTATTTCCACATTGTTTGTTAATAATAATTTCATAAAGGAAAAGATTAATTGTATGAGTTCAACAATCATTATCTTAAAACTTTTATTTAAAACAATTCAGTCGGTTCATTTTAAAAATGTGTGGTTATGGATAAGGAACAGTACAAACACAGGGTTAAAGAATTATTAACACAAGGTAAAACATCCACACAGATGGAAGACCAAGATAAAAAAGGGAAATAACATTATCGTATATTGTCAGTAAGATGGAAGGAAAGATCAATTATAGAATTGGTGAATTGTAGAAATCTAAGAAAATTGATCAGGATACGTATGATCGATTATACGCATCTGGGACTAGGTGTGCGGTGATGTTTTGTCAACCAAAAATACACAAAAAAGGATTATCAATGAGGCCGATAATTTCAACAACAAACACATATGACTATAAACTGGTTAAATATTTGGGTGACCAAGTCAATCAAGCAAGATTGTTAGGCTCCGCCTAACTCGTTCGAATCTTCACTTGTATGTACAAATGGTTTATTCAAAAGCACCTCCTCTAGTATGTGCGAACAAACAGTATATATAGAAGAAGAAAGAATGCTGACTCAACAAGAACTGAGTCAGCATTCCTTGTAGTCATGAGAAATGGAAACAAAAGCAGAAAGAGGAAGGAATGTCAGTGACGACTGACATAACAAAGATCAACACCACGAACATTTATAAAAGATTCATTCGAGTTTGCTAAAATGATACAAAAACAAAAAGTAGACAAGAATGAACTAATGTTCAGTTTGGATGTTGAATCGCTATTCACCAACGTACCTGTAAATGAAGCTATTAATTTAGCTATTAACATCATCCAGAGAAAGCAACGAGAAAATGCCAAGTTCACAAAACTAAATGCAAAAAATCTAAGACAATTATTCGAACTGGCAGTAATTAATGTTTCATTTAGATTTTACGATCAACTATATAAACGGCAAGATGGTGTCTCTATGGGAAGCCCGCTGGCTCCTATACTAGCAGATATCTTCACGGAATACATAGAATATAGGATTGAACAATATCCGGAACAACATAAAATCAAGACCATGAAATGATATGTTGACGCTATGTTCTTCATTATTCATGGAAAACAGGATGATATTGAGAAACTGTTGGAATGGTTCAATCAATTACACAATAAAATAAAATTCACATGCGAAAATGAGAAAAATTATGAATTATCATTTCTGGATGTCAAGATTACAAGACAACGGATGAGGTATGAGACAACAGTATTCAAAAAACCAACACACATTGGTTTATACCTCCATTGGGCGAGTTGTCAAGCACGGAAGTACAAAATTAGTTTAATTAAAACTCTAACCGATCGTGCAATCAGAATATGTTCATCAACAAAACTATTGAAGGAAGAGTGTGAACATATTGAACAAAGTTTAATAAGAAATGGATATCTTAAAAACCTAGTAAGAAGAAAAATTAAACATACGATTGAACAACAGAAACAGCAAGCTCCAGCAAAAATAAAAAAGATCTTTTTTACCTCGCTGACATACTGGGGCAGTGAAACAAAAGTTATGGCAGATAAACTAAAGAAGATGCTTGAAAAGACTTTCCCAATGACAGAAGTGAGGTTCGGATTCAGGAGACATTTAACAATACGAAAAACGTTCATAAAGAATTATAAAGGGATTGATGATACAAACACTGGAGTAGTGTACAAAATTAAATATGATCGTTGTACACAGGTATATGTTGGGCAAACAAAGTTGGCAGGGATGGACAGAATGAAACAGCATCGAAATGGATTAAAAGAGGGAAATCGGCGGCTGCGGATCATATGCTCGACAACAAAAGGCACGTCGTCAGATTTGATCAACCCATTATCATGGCACGTGATACAAACCGGAAAAAACGAGAAATTAAAGAAACGCTAATTACAATGAAGCATCAAGCTGCTGCATATAATAAGATAAGCCATAAGCTTATGGTGTTTAATTAATCAGCTCAAATATTCAAACTCTCTTTCAGTTTTAAGTTTTGAGTTCAGTTTCACGTTTAGTAACAATGAATTTCTGCATTCTCTCTCACTCTAACGTACATATATACAGTGGGCATATTTCGTAGAAGTTTTCACTATTTTCTCTAAGAGAATGAAAAAGAATATTCTTAGAAATATCTACTACACTCACAGAAGAGAAGAGAATAGAAAAGAATAGTAAAATGAACATATATATATATACTGTGAGTGTTTTTCGTCTAAATGTAGCTGACGATGATTACAGTTGTAATCAAAAGCTCCTGTTGTAAATAAAAGTTTTAAAATAATGTGATTGTTGAACTCATACAAATGTTGTATTCTAACCATAACCTAATCACATATAGTTACACTTATAGTAAAACGTTCAGTTTGATTGTAGATGATCACGACGAGCTCAACCGTATTAGGAAGGCTATTAAGTTTTACAAATTCCGAATTCTTATTATTTCACGACTCAACTGATTCGGTTCACATCATTAATAAAGTATTTCTCAAAATGAAGTATTAGATAGAGCTTTGAAAACTGAACAAATACAGGGATTTGACAACCCTTGCATAGTACAAAAATCTCAGGTGTTAATCGACGTTTTTTAGATCTAGGATTTTCGTTTCTCACTGAGATGATGCACTCTAAGAAATATGCATCTACGCGTGCGCAACAAAGAAAACTCACAGAGTTACGTTTAGTTCCCGTCGTTGTTCAATTTTAGACCCAAATTCTTTGATCATGGATCGAATGAATCCAGATGAACGTTACTTGGATATTTTAAAAGAAAGGGCACTGAAGATAAGAAAAGTTTCAGGTTAAAATATATGTATGCATGTGTGGACCTTACCTCTGCGCATATTATGCTATGTTTGGTTTTTCTTCAAAATAACTTGTTTTCTAATTAATAATTTCATTTTTCTCACTTCAGAACACTTTTGACACTGCGTCAGTGATAAAAAAAGATCAGAAACTTGAGACAGTTCGTCAAAAGAGCGATCTGCATACTATCAGTGTTGCACTTGAGAATTATCATAGAGGCCAATCACTTTATTTGTGCGAACTTTTTTCAACCTTAAGCTCATTCGTCAAAGACGTGCTACAAGCATCGAAAAAAAGTACAACTGGATTTACATGATCATACGAACAAGTTATTTGAGGTAGGATATAGCCACTTCGCACTACAGTTTCAATGGCACATCGCAATCCTCATAAAACAGTGTACTTGAACGGATCCGTATTATTTATTCTATTCAATCCATCAGTGTCACTTCTCGCAGATATACTTGTTAAAAGAATTTCATCCTTATGTATTTGCCGCTCTGTCCTAGAAAGCAGTACGTATTCTCCAAGCATTAGACTAGTGATTATAAATCCTTAACGTATTCTTATAGTAACACCTCGGAATGATCGTAAAAGTCTCATGACACAACATTACTGTGAACGACATTATGTTAACATAGACCATACGTGGCAAATTTTTCATAGCATATGTTGGATATGTCTGGCAGTGTGAGGGGAGGGCATTGTAAGAGTGAGTTCGAAAAGTAGTTCAGTTATCAATACCCATTGTGTACTGTGAAAAATTTGCTATGTATGGTCTATGTCGACATAGTGCATGAGCGGATGTCGACATAGACCATAGGAAAAATTTCTAGTCCGTACTATAGCTGGGAAAAAAATTCCTATGGTCTATGTTGGCATAATGGCGGTTCGCGTTAATGTCGCTGTATCTAAAAACCTTGTTGGATTGGACTCTTCTTGCTGATGTTCATGTACGCTTGTGGAACTGACTGTTACCGAGTGTGAATCGTTATCTAGAATGATTTGAATTCTGAATACACAGGAAGGATGCCTTCTATACTCACTATATTGAAACAAATACGTAGGGCATTCAAAAAGTCCCCGGACTGATTATTTTTAAAAATACAGAGAGCTTTGTGATGCCAAGAATCAAGCTTTTCTGCAAAAGATACATCTTGAAATTTTCTGCAAAAAATATATTGAGCGTTTTGCCACAAAGTGTATCTTGGCATCTGCTCCAGCGCTTTACAAGGAAACATGAATACTCTAAAAAGTGAGTTACAGTTTTGCCCATTTAGATTTTCTCACTATTATTCGTATAACGCTCCACTCTTGCATATTGTAGCAAAACGAACAATGTGTTTTTGTAACGAATTTCAAGATGTATCTTTTGCAAAAAAAAATTAGTTTTGAAGAATGAAAGACAAAAAAAATCATAAACAAAATACTGAGTGTTATTTAATTTGCACCACCCGTTCTCATGCGATCAGAAACATGTTATTCTAGCATAAAAATGTTTGATCGATCAAAGCTCGTAATATCTATGGACAGAGAACTGTATGATAGAGACCTGCACTGGTTAAGAAAACCTAACCCGAACCCGATCCGACTATCAGAATGCTGGCCCGAGCCCAACCAGACCCGACAGCATCTGAACCCGAACCCGACCCGGCCCTTGGGTCGGGTCGAGTTGCAGGTCTCTACTGTACGGCTAGGCGAATCTACTAAGGAAAAATCGCCATTGCATCGTACTTGTGTCTTCATGGCTTTTCCACTACACTGCGTGACTAAGACGAAAAAGAGAAAAGAAAACGTACGTTTTTCTTAGTTTCTTAGGCTTGTTTGATGAAGCTAAGTGTTGATCAAAAACAGGAAAATTTTTGAATGACTTCTGATTGGTCAATCCGTCATTTTGTCTAAAAGGTTAATCTATTGAAAAATTCCTCAGTACACTTTTTCAATAGATTATCTTAACTGAGATGATGACTACATCCTTTTTCTCATTGGTCAGCCTATATCACCTAATAATAGGATACCAAGTAGAGAGCATTATAGCATGGTTATGGGTGTTTAAAACAGAATATTGAAAAAGCAGTATAAAAAGCAGTGAGGGATGTATTGCCATTGATTTCAGTGCAGGAAGCACTCTCTTATGTCCATAGAAAGCAGTCATTAATCGACTTAGTGGATGCAGTTGTTGTGGAACAAGTATTTCAGCTAGAAATTCCAGTGCAGATAACTTTCAATGAGTAATACAAAACTGAAATTATTATCGATATTTTAAATTGTGCCGCAAAATGTTCAACCCGAACCCGACCTGACCCTAGGATCAGGTCGGGTTCGGATCGGGTTGCAGGTCTCTATTTGAGCTGTTCAGCATCCAATGCTCTCCGATGCTAAGAAAGAAAAATTCGCCTTTTCCCCCTTGCATTTATCTCAAAAGGTGGATGTCTCAGCGATTAATAACAGTGTATGTGTGTTATGGAAGCAACTGGTCCGGATTAGCACATTAGTTCATCATGTGCACAGCTCAATACAGACTTTGATTCTTTTTTTGATAGTTCATATTATAAAGAAGAGTTTTAGAGACTCTTATACAAAACGTTAACGCAACTTGAATGGAAAAATTCGAAATAGCGGTTTTGGTATTAGAAATATTTTCTTAGACTTTTAGAAGCATTAACAGCTAACATTTCGTAGGCATATTCTTACAGTACCGATAACTACCCACACAAAGAAAACAGTGTGTCGCAAAAATGCGTCATCATGAGAATTGAAGTTTAACTGATTTTTGGTCTTGCTTTTGACCTTTTGCACATCTTCTAATTCTCGTGACCTAATTCACCGGGATCAATCAGCCTGCAAGAGATTTGTCTAAATTTTTATTTGCCTTAGAAAACATTTCCAATTTGGTCGACTGTTCCGTCGATTTTCCTCATCTTATCGGACGTGATCGAAATTAACTTAAAATAGATGAAAATCGAAAATTTTCAAAAAGATTACTTCTCCACTAGTTTGAATAGTTTCTATCGAAAGTGTCAGAGTGAGCACCCGTGTCGCGGATAAAAGTGTTGCAATTTGCGACATATGCGACACATTATTTTTTAGTGTGCTGATTCATTGCCTACATTTAGTAAAAGTAACGAAAGTATTTTTTACATCGAAATTACGACTACTTACTTAGCGAGATGATGACGTTGAAGATACTGAACAGGTTCTTTCTGAAATGTATATAACAGTCTCGAATTTTCTTCTTCTGATGTGAGTTCATACAATTCAACTTTGCAAACGCTTTGTGTATTAAGTAGTAACTGGGTACCTCGTTCAACCAACATTTCTAATAGCTCAAGCATATCTTGATGGTCATAAACTGTGTTGCTTAACAAGCTGGATTCAGCTTGTTTACTTGTACGTAATGGAAGTCGAAATAGTGTTCCATCAAACGGATGATCAGCTAGAGAGAAAACATTACAGCTAAAAATTCCGTTGTATGGTTCGAACTGATGTTTGTAACTGTGAAACATTATTCGTTGTGACGGTGTGAAATCAAGACGTATACCACTGCTGCCGTACTTTTCTAGGTATTTGCAATGCGGATCTAGTATAATCAATGTTTGCTGGCTTAGCAAGCTTGGCAAATCAGTTACATTGTACACAGAATTAAAACCAAGACCGAATTTCCCAATTTTGCTTAAATCATTTTCTTTTGTCGCCGCACCAAGCCTAATCAAATTTTGGAAATCGTTTTCAGTGAATAGAGCATTATTATATGCCCAAAGAGCTCGACCCTGGAACTGAACTAGAGATGGATCCAATAATAATTTGTCCCATTGTGCATTTGAACGATTATCATAGATAAATTTCACTACGGTTGCTTGAGCATCATCGGCATTTTGAATAAACTCTTTAAATATAGCTAGCCCATCTGTGTAACCTTCCTAAATAGTAAGTTAAATTACATAAGAATATGAGTAGTAGCTCGAATTGACTGATCCTGGAATGTATGGAATGCATAGATATTTATTGACGCTCTGTAAGGACATTGAAGATTTGGTTTAGTATGACAAAATTTCAGTGGCGTAACTAGGAGTTTTCGATCATTGGGCCAATTCCATTAGTTCGAAAAAAAACCACTGGACCACACTGTGATCATTCGAGAAAAGACCGAACCAGAAAATCTTTTTCAAATTGTTAGCTGGGAAAATCACAAAGTTCAAAATCGTTTTGGACCGAGGCTCAAATCGCACTGGGCTACTCTCTAAAAAGAAAAGGTTTATTACGAAACTTAAAAGGGTATAGAGAAGTGCAACCATTGAACCATGAAACTTCTGTAATTTTTGATTTTTCGAGAAAAATCATGAGGAAAAAACACAACGAAATAAGCAAATGCACTGATCAATCATTTCAATGCACTTAAAACGGTTTCGTACTGCAGTCTTGTCTTCCACGAAACCTGAAAGGATTTAGAAATAGTTGCACTTCTCTATACCCTTTTAAGTTTCGTAACAACTCTTTTTTTTACAGAGCATGGCTCAATGCTCTGCAAACTTTGTCCTAAATATTTTTTGTCCACATACCCAAAGTATATTGTATACAGCTTCTACAGTCAATTAAAGTACAGTTTGATTCACTTATTTTCAAACAGTTATTGTAAGTTGGCTATACGAATTATGAAAATTATAAGAATTTGGTGAAATTCTAAAAGCCTTCAAAACAATCTTTTTCACGGTAATGTTTAACTGCACGGGGAATATTTAACTGAAACTAAATCCGATTGGCCCGGAAATGGCTTCAGATGGAAGAAATCCGTCAAAGCTGCGCTTGTACAAAGTATTGAAAGAAACCGTCGTGTATTCGAGGAGAAAGTTTAATTTAAAGTTTTAAATTTTAAGTCACGTGGCACTTTTCGTTACAGAAATGAAAAAAACAGGTTTTAGGGCTATTCACATAATGTAGAATTTATGTAACAGCTCTCAGCTAAATCAGACTCAAATTAGATAATTCGATAGAGAAATGAATGCTCTACCCAGCCATGTAAAAACGAAAAAGGTTTATATGTCTAGCAGATTATAATCACCTCAAAAAAATACCGAAAATACTATGGCAAGAAGTGTTTTTGAAGGCTTTTAGAGATAGGCTATTTAGCTAGACTTCGGACAACCTCAACCCTCGAACTAAGTATAATTAAGGAAACTGTTGAGCAACTCTGCTGTAAAAATAATAATAAAAGAAATTATAACTCAGTTTATGTTGCAAAATCACCTATCGTTAAGCACTACTCTAATACTAGACATGTGATTACAGGTAATAACTTTGAAATTGTTTTGCGAGAAAAACAAAGGTATAAGTTTCTGGTTAAGGAATCGTTATTCATTCGGGCTGGTTTCCCATGCTTAATGGTACTGATCGTTCGGTACCACTGTACGTGTATTCTGAAGGGGTAATATCAATCTCTGGGATAGAAAAAAATGTCCTAGGAAAGGTGTTGGAGGCTAGTACAGTATTATCTCTCTCATATACTTCAATTCAATTTTTCTTCAGTAGGTTTTATCTTTACACGACTCAACACTAGCGTTTTTAAAATTTCTTTTCAACTCAACCTATTCTTTGTAAGAAAATAAAATGTACATGTAACAAAATTCTCCATTCATAATCTCGTTCTCTTTCTTTCCTCTCTCTTTGTCATGCATATGGATTTTCAGCCTTTTCTTTGTGATGTGTGTGCCTAGATTAGAAAAACACTAGATATATATACAATCAGTTATTTTTGTTTTCAACTTTATGTAACATCCTGTACGAGGAGAAACTTGAAAAAGGCCATATTAATAGATCGAAATATCGAATTATAATTTTAACGTTTTAGTTTTAATTGTTTTATTTTTATTATTTGATTAAAACTTTTTATTAAGATTCTTAAGATGATAGCCGCATTGGTTTTAAAATTTTTATACTGTTTACTTTGTTTTGCAAATGCTTGTTCAAGAACTTCAGCTAAAATTCTTAAAATTTGTAATCCCGTTTGATTGTGAGAAAAGGAATCAGAATAAACAACACGTATTCTGCATATCGAAATTACCTTTTTGTATATCATACTTTCAATACCATAAGAACTAGAATTCTACTCTATAATAATTAGGGGAGGACAGACATTTTTCAGGTTCAGAACATGATCCATATAAATTACCAACCTTAATAAGACTGTGGATACGAGAAGTTAAGTCTTCTTTTTGAGCCCAATTTCGTACAAAACTTAAACTTTTAACATTCATAACTTTGCTCGTCAACGGTTGAACGCCGAGTTTTTCGCATATATGAACTGGTATACCTTCGTGGACAATATTCAGCTTGAATTCCTTTTGAATCACCTCAATAATCTGCTTATTTGACATCCATTCTTTATCACAATAACAACATTCGCCAATTTTTGAAAATGGTATAGATAACGTTTCATCAGAACCACTATCAGCATTATCGTTGTTATGGAATTCCATTGTTGGAAGATACAGTTGTTTAGTGACATCAATATCTGTTTCTGATTTTGTTTGAGATAAGAAAATGCTAAACCAAACTAATATTCGATGAATCAGGTCAAAGTCATCATGCTGTGTAGCCAGCGTGTTGTCAACTCCATCTTCTTGATATTTTCGTACAATATCATTGACTACACTTAGTAAAATTGTTTCTGTTGGCTGATAACGAATGCTTAGTGCTGCTAGAATTTTATCATATTGGAAGATAGGACTGTTCGGCTGTATTTTCATAACATAAGGAGCAAGATCGAATGGAAGATCTAATACAACTTTGGAAACAGGTACGAAATCATTGCCAAGCCAAATGCTATCATGTATATTTTCATCGTTGAAACTGTTACGAATCTCTTCAGCTGAATACGTCTGATTAATATAGGCATATAGATTGCATACAAGAAAATGACACTTTTGATTTTCTTCTCGCTGGAAATGTGCCATTATCAAGCGCAATTGTTGAGCATAATCATTTGCTGTAATTGGGCGTAGACGGAGATGAGATATAACGACTGATGGAATTGTTGATAGAACACTTGGACCAACAGCACCAAGAAGTTCTGCAGCATCTGATGGATATAGTTGTTTCGCCGTATATAAGGACTTTGTTGACTGGAATTGCAACCATTTTGGATATATGCCTGAGATGGAACATGGTAACCATAAATATTGGTTTAATAATTTCGATACAGATTGAAGCAATGAATTGTCTTTTGCAAGCAACTGCAAAGAAAACTGTGAAAGTAAATTACCTGACAACTTATGATTCATATCTTCAGCTTATGATTGTACTATATCCGAGGAAGCATATATATCAAGTGCAAGTAGAAAACAGAACAAATATAATGCATAGGAATAATTCGCAAATTTGTACAGACATGCACATGATGAATAAGTTTGTTTGTTTCTAACTCCATAGAGCGACAAGTTAGCAGTAAGTTAGTAAATTTTGTCACACATTGAATATGAATTTTTTCAAAATGAGAGAACATGCATTGAAAGCCATCCCATGTCTTAAATACTGGCAAAATATCAATGGTGAGCGGCAATATACTGTCAAATACCAACGTTATTTTGATATTACCTTAGAACCGTGGTATATCGCTGTATTTTTTGTCAGACTCTCATTCAAAGACTAGTGTCAAATATAGCTATCGAACCAGCTGTTTTTTAGCGCGCTAATGTACTCTTACCCTCACCCTGAAAAGCTATCTAGCTGGCTAAAATCTTTGTGAAAAAAATGAAAAGTGTAAAACTTTCAAATAACCCTGAAAATTCAATAATAACTGATTACATTTTAATAGAAGTGCTATTCAAGCCCGTAAACAAAGTGGACAAATGAAACTTTGTCTTACAACAATCCGAGAATGTCGGGGATGTACAGAGTCACACACGAACATAACGATTTTAATAATACAGGTAAGATGAATTTTGTTTTTGTTTAGATCAAGAATGGTCGCAAGTCTCTTTTATTATCTTGAATAAACTGTCTTCAAACTCTCGTTTTGCGCTAATATGTTTATCTTGACAAATAATAGTAGATCAGTGCTACCTGTGCCGCCTATAACTTGGAAACTCCTCAACCAATTCGATTCCTTTTCAAATTAATAAGATGTCTTTGTCGCTCAAAGATATAGACTAAATTTGTTTCTATAACAGAAGGAGAGAGAGATTGACAGGGAATTGTTGAACGTACAGATAGGTGAAATAAAACTTGAGGAGTTGAATGTTTAAGATACTCAAAGAACAAAACAACTGGAATAAGATGGTAATTCTAAGATCAACAATTGTTAAGAAGAAAAAAGCCCTATAATTCAGCCGATTATGATTATGTCGATCTAAACTATAAAACTAACTAAAAATTGATTCATACACTTACGTTGCTCAGAACCGAAATTTTGTTATTTTTGCAGTCATTTATCTTTTCGATTTTGTCGAGACAGTTAGCGATATCATTTTTATTCATTTTTGATTGTAATTTCACTTTTAAAATCGAATAATATGGCTCCGTACGATATAACAATGGCAAATGTTTCTCTTCGTCAACAAGTTGTTTGATTATGTCATCGTATGGATCATAATAAAAATCAGCTGTACGATATGCACCATTGTCGTATATGAATGGTAATCTAAACCATTGTTCAACAAAACCGGGTAACTGTATCTGAAGGCTCGACCAATCATTCATTGCCCATTTGCTGACTGTTAACACGTGGTGCGATAGATTGCTTTTTATACAGTATTTTAGAACTTCCAAAGTGAGTTTTGCTTGTGAATAAACTGGAATTGACAAGCTTTTCATCAATATATTTGTATCATCATCGATGCACATAATCAAAGATCGCTGAATCGGAATATTATCGGGAAACAATGGCATGCAGCACCGACTCTCAGCAATTGAAATGAACTTTGTAATTTCACTAGAATTTCGAAATATTGATAATTCACCTACTAATTCTCTGAGCGAATCGTATTGTTGCATTATATGAGCAGCACTGGCTAAGCATGATCTCAAATTGAGTTTTTGTACATCAGTGAATTGTTCTCGTACAATAGATTGAAGAATATTTTTATCTGATTTATTGATAGCTTCTAACCAAGAACAAAATGAATCGATGGATAATTCTGATATGTACTTAGTACGCTGGGGATGGTTTACAAGATAATAAAATTCGTCCATGTCATATCGCAGAATCACACATTTTAGACCATATGTCTTAAATACTTTTAGCACTTTTTTGTTTAAATCTGAACAATTGTTTTTATGAGTAATAAGAAAAAAATGTTGATTAATATCTAATGGATAAAAAGTAAGAAGCTGGGGAAGTTTTGACTTCGTTATATCACTAACAATCTCGCTTGAAGAGATTTTTTCCATCTTTATTTCTATGTATGGTACAATATGCTGACTTTGAAATAGGTCTAAATGATCCGGAAATTTCTCAAATAAATATCTCCATAACATTGTAGCCCAATCTCTAGTTTGTTCTGATGTGCAACATTGTTGGAGAAGTTGTGGAAAGTTGTTGTGATTGTATGATTTTAACTGCGTTTGACCTAAATGAAATTATCTGTATAAAAGTGTCTTTTAGTAACAGAATTGACGAAGTCTAGTACAAGTCTAAATAACGGATGTAGACAATTGGTAACATATAATAAGTGTCCATCATACCAATGAGCTTTTTTTGTCCGACGGTTGGATTCAAAACTAGTTGTAAGCAAGCTCGTCTAATGTTTGGCAACATTTAAAAGTGCTCTGTGATTACAGTCAAAGCGCCGTTATTCTTCGGCTGCCTGTTAGTGTCTTTTCTGGCAAATAAATTCACACGCGAACAGACATATTACAAACCATGAAAAAGTTCTTTTGTCAAATTCGAAAGCGACGTAAGAGAATCTACTCGTTAAACTTCAAATACTTTTAACAAACAGTAATTTATTGGAATAATTTAAGGGCACCCCTCCCTCCTTTCCTGGTATTGGGCGAACGGCTTATCGTAGCGCCGTGAGTTTTTTTAACACAAATAGATATCAATGACTTATGAAAAAGAACTTCTACAAGTATCTTTCCATCTCTTGTAGTTTGATTTTCTAGAAGCCATAACGGCAAAAAACGACTCTCATCTATCAAACAGAAGGACTTGGCCTGTAAAACTAATTTTACCACCAGCACTACGGCTCTAATACAAGATCTATTTTTTTGATTTTTACAAGTTCCTTATCTTCCGATTGAAGTCAGAAATACGGATTAGTACGCAAAACTCTCACTTTTTAACCGAGCTTTTTGCAATACTGTCTGATCAGAACGAAGAGGTTCCTTTGAACACGAAAAACCTACAGCTCTAACAGTATATCTCTAGGCGTAATGCCGATACTCATGCTCTACGTCAAGAACGAGTGCTCTGCTACTTGTTTCCCCTACTTTTTTACAAATCTATTTGTAAACTTTCTATTTGAACCAATATTGCTAAACAATTAAATCATACTTAATACATGAAGAAGAACTGCAATACCTGCTCGTGCGATGTTCCGAATTATTGAATTCACTTTTTCCGATAGTGACAGGCTTGAAAATTGTTTTTCTAGTCCAACTAAAATTTTGACAACAATCTCTTCGCCCTTTTCAAGATAATAAACAGGTGTATGTTGTTTCGATTGGCAATCAAACGTTGTCCAACTGGCATCCGACAATGGTAGTAATGCTACATTATGTAAACTGTCTACTGGAGCTTGTAAACAATATTCTAACAGTTGTAAACGTTCGATAGGAGAAATATGCTCCAAAGAACTCTCTGTTATATACTGACATACTAGGGTAGGTGTTATCAAGTGTATCATGTTCGCAGAATTTAGTTTAAAAAAATTCAATACATTGTTTGGCATAACCGCTATTTGTGAACTTTTAAAACATCGAAGTATGGCTGTCTGAAATTGTTTGTCTTCAGTATCAGCCAAATTGTCGACAATCACCTCTGATACTAATCTTTTATGACCGTCCATACATGTTACAATTGGCTTGTTAGCAATTTCTTGAAATGTCGGTTTAAGTAGCTCGTACCATTTGTTACATGGCAAGTCTATAGTTGGTAGACATTTGTAAACCATCATTGAATCATTGAATTGATTGGTACAGTATTCAATTAGTTTAACATATGATCGTGAAATTACTTGTTTGATCAATAATTCATTCCATAGACCATCATAATCTCTGTACGTTTCTGTTGTAACCCATTTTAAATCACGACGATTATCTGTTAGTCCGAAATATCCATTAATATGTATAGGAAGGCCATGTATGACACCAGCGGGCAATGGTAGATAGCAAAATAACCGACCGGATGATGCTGCATTTAGTTCACTATCTTGCTCAATCGCACAACTACCTAGTGGCAAACTTTTCAATAAGGAGACCATTTCACGCAGTGCTTCATCACATGAACGAAAAAGAAGCGCTTCTGACATAAGAAACTTGTATTGCTTTGTTGTTTTCATCATATAATTCTAAAAAAGACAACAGCCCGTGTTCGTAATGCATGTGAAATATGAGAACATAGTAATAAACATTTTTATTGGAAACGTGAAGCACGTCTCCCAGTAGAAAAGCGTTATGTATTAATTCTTTCTTTCTTGCTTATACTTGGTGGTGACACATCACTGAGCTAAAAACCCCAAAACAAACAAAACAATTGCAGGAACGATTTGGGATTCCAAAACGATCTTTTCAATGAGTAGAGGAGGACGCCCACACCGTTCAACGAGAGGTGGCCGAGGAAACCGAGGTAATGGCAATTCATCTGTTGAGGTTCTTCAAAAGTTAATCTCACACAATAAACAGCTCGACTGAAGTTCGAGTTCCCGATTGCTCCTCTGGTTCTCGAATGTCTATCGTCAACAAGGGTTGAGCTCAACAAACTGATCGTGACTCAGTTACCTGAAGCGAAACTCTCCGACATTCAACTCAATCGAAACAACGGCTCTTTCACGCTATATGCCTCTGATGTTAAATCGTTCAATCTCTTACTGAACGGCGCCTCGAAATTAAGAACGGGCAGTAAACAAACAACAATTCGTATTCCTCGATCGATCCAACGCATTCTCAACATGGATAAAGATGCTTTTGTTAAGAACTTTGATCTAGACATCGAAGATGACGACATCCGAACGGAGCTATCAAAAACTGACTTTAACGTCGAAAAACTATGTCGTCTACAAAAGAGAGACAACACCAGTCCAATTTGAACAGTAAAAATTACCTTCACCGATGTTCAAAATCGGAATTCGTTCGTGCAAATCGGCCGCCAAACCCAGCATATGCATTTCTTGACTGAACGAGCAAATCATAACACAAAGCCAGCTCCATGTTTCATCTGCCTATAATTCGGACATGTATCGAAGTAATGCAAGCGAGCTCAAAACCAAATCTGCGCCAAATGTGGAGATAATCATCGTCAGGAAAATTTCCACAAAGGAAATGTGCCATCTGTTTGCTGCAATTGCAAAGGTGAACACTTAGCAGCATCAATCGAATGTCCAAAATTTAAAGAACAACAACAAAAGACCAAGGCGACGATCGACAAATACTCCGCGTCATCAACGCGACCAACGGCGAAAGCGCCGAGACTATACGATGGCAAGGAATTCTCATCTCTGCCGTCGTCTCGGGAACACTACTTGTCTGCAGCTAATGAAGAACAACGCAAATAATTGCTTGCGTCACTGAATCCATGTCAACAACGATGCCATGTTGACAATGATTTAAGAAGCAACAAAACGAATATTTGACGTAATGAGTCGTAAATTTGAACGTCTCGCTGATCGTCTAATAGCTCTACTAGGCATTCGACTGATCGACGATAATCTCTCCGATGTCGAAATCAACGAGAATGAGTGCGAGCAAACAAGAACGGGAAATACGACGGAAGAAAAACTGCTGACTACTCAAGACGAACTCTACGCTCGATTCTATTACTACGACATATTATCAGTCAACGAAACTAACCTAAGGCCGCAACAACATCTCGGTCTCCCAGGATTCAGCATTTTTCGGAATGATCGAACTGATCAATCCGGCGATGGCTTTCTTCTCGCCATCCGAGAAAACATAAAATACCACGAAATTCTCAACAAAACTGTCGAAAGGAATGAGGTCATCGCGGTACAAATTGAAACATCGAGTGGGCTATTGCTCATCACATCGACTTATATACCGCCAAAACCGAAAATGAAACGACAACTTTTTGAAGAATCGTATCAGATCAACAACATGCACTCTTCGCCGATGATATGGCTTTGTGGAGTTCATCAAATACAATAAAAAATTTATCTTCTCGTCTCCAATAATCAGTCAATAAATTCCAACGCTGGTGCGATACATGGAAATTAATAATTGTAATTAAAAAAAATTTCTTTTTGCTTTCATTCTGACTGACATCACATGCTTCAGCTAGTCGTTCTGTTGATGTATTAAAACAAACTTTAACTGACTTGTTGCTTTTTCAAAGTCAAAAACTTTATTCATATATTATACTGTTCAAAGTTTGCTCGATCTATAACTGGAGAAGAATTTTTTCGTATACTTAGTTTGAGATGGATTTTCAGACTAACACGACTCGATTAGTTTCAAGTACAAAAACATGATTAAAGGAGCTATCGCTGTCGGACTTCTTTGTGTAAGAGAAAAGTAAAATATGAAATTCTAGCAGAGGCAGCTGTAAAGGAATCAGATTCTACGCTTCTTCATACAAAACTGTAACATAAAATATCACAGCAACTGTTTACCTGTTCTGTTAAGAATATTTCATATTGTAGTTCGACATCATCTGCATCGAATGTTTTTGAATCAATCGAAGAGCATTGGCTTGTGATTATGTTTGACATAGAAATATCAGTTGATCGTCTGACAGAAACTGCAGCTAATGGTTTCAAATTTTTCAGTTTTGGTATTTCATGTAATTCGATCAAACGTATACTTCTTAAAAATAGGATATTGTACGAGAGGTCATCCAGAAAGCTTTTAACCAAATTTTGAACATCTTCTTCTGAAATGGGATCTGGTTTGCGAACAAAAAGTTTTGTTGTTGTGCATGCATCCGAATTTCGAAATGGAAATCGAAACAGTGTACCTTTGAATGCTGCAGTAAAATCTAAGCCTAACGCTGCATTTTTGTACAGTTCAAATTGATCACCATATTTTTTTATTATATCGGCACTTTTCAAAAAATCGATACGTTTTCCTCGTGCTGGATGCAACAGTTCAGAGAAATAAACTCCATGTGGATCAAGAAAACCAATGTAACGATCGCTGACGACAGACGGTAGATCTAGAATAAAAGTACATGATGTAACGGAAAAAGTCAGTACTCTACTATGGGACTGAAGTAAACTGAAGATCTGATCGTATAATTTAGCTTTATCCAATTTGTTGTGACTAAGAGTTGGTTCAATTGGGTCAACTAATTGCACCAACTCTCCATGGATATCAATTGAGTCAATGAAAACAGGATCCGTTCGTCTTAACCACGTTCCTTCTCTTAAAAAGTTATTGAGCTCAGCAACATACTTCACAACCCATCTATTTTCTCACATTGATCTCTTTTCACAAAACATTCCAATTAAGTTGATAATTCACTCTTACCGTTGTTAGCTCACTTCCACGTTATTCACGGAGAAGTAAGGTGTCAATAATTCAAACCTTTTATTTATATATAGTTAGATTGAGAAAAAAAATATTTTAGCTTTCAAAAGTAAGTCACAGTTTCATCTTTTTTGTTCTTCTCAAGTTGCAAAACGTCGTGGTCAAATGTCATGGAATTTCATTTTTTCGTCTTCTGCGCCATTTATTTCGGCAAGGAAGCAGTATTTATCGACGAAATTTATACTAGTGATGGGTATTAATGCGTTCTACTGTCAAAAATAAGTTGAACTTGATTTGTCAAGTGGATCAAAAGTTATAGTCAAAATAGAGGCCATCACGGAATTTCAAAACATGGAATTTGTTTTCTGGGTATTCTAGTAAAATGTAAATTACTCCGTCTCAGATTAATTTTGCAATGATCGTTTGGTTGCCAAATTAAAGCTCACAGTTTGGACTGTTAGAGTCACTAGAGATTTTTCCTTGAACTAGTTTCCTGGCATAAGAAATCGAAAAAGAGTGAGCGTCACGGAATTTCACCTTTATCTGCTCTAAAAAACTGCGTCTAATGATATATTTTTAAGATTTGTTTGAGTGATCGACTGTACACGCTATGATGCCCTTGCAGTTGTCTGATGATGATGATTTGTTTGAATGAAAATAAAAATTTGAACCTTCTGATTCGAAGGGTGGCCGTTAGCTGGCCACGCAGAGAAGTGATTTATTTAGGTTAAAAATGCAAAACTGAGTCTAAAAATGACAAATAGGGAGTTGAACAAGAGTAGACTTCTTAATTGCAGAAGAAGTACAGCGTAGTACAACGAATTGATGTTCCATCAATCTCGCAGATCATTGTTCAAAAGTTTGAGATTTGCAACTCTGGTGAACAAAACGTTTCGGACAATACTGTAATCGCGTTTGATGCAAAGCCTTTCCATATCAATGGAGTATTCTTTTCTCAAGCAAAAGAAAAAGCTCTACTACGACAACTCGTTGAAGAACTGGCCTGCTAAGAAAAATATTTTTCGGCTTTTCCGAATGCCAGTCGATAGATTAAGCCATTTACGATCTATTCTTAAAGCTTGAACATTTCTTGACTCGATTTGAGGGACTTAGAAAGACGTTACTGTATAGTGATATTTGATGAAAAGGGGGTTTTCTGAAAATTTCTCTATCACATTCCCTTTAGTTTTACTTTGAAAACCAAGATTCCACGATGTTGAGCACAGTCGATTGCATATGACAGGAAACCTTTTAGGTTAGGGAGCATTTCAAAATTCTTCATTCTTTCATTTGCTACTTTACTCATTTCCTATTTATTCTTTTACTCTTTTACTGTTTCTCTCTTGTTTTGCTTGGATATTCGTCACATAGGCTAGGTACAAATACAACGTCTTCTTTTCTTTTCTCTATTTAGAACATATACTTGTGTGTATATACGACACTTTCGTAGCCGCGACGTTATATATCAGAAAAATAGCATCAGTTGTATTTGAGATACACAACCAACTGTCACCAAAAGATGACTATTAGGTAAAATATGTCTATACAAAAATTTGTATATGACATTTTACTCTTAAGTCAAACTTTTAGTTCAGCTGAAACAAGTTCAATCACATCGAGTTTTAGCTGTGTCTATCAGTACTTTTAGATCAAAACTGTAAAAAAGAGTCGAAGACTTTCACAGTGGAATCCTGAAAAGGACTTGATCAAAGTCAATACGTTTATTTTCTCATTTGAATACCCTGCACATATACATCGTTGATTTTGGCCGAGTCTTTTTCTCGCTAAAATTGTGCATCTCATGCTGCGATCGCTAAGAAGTCGCTACGTTATCGCGACTAACTCTTATTTTACAAAAGATTTGTGAATCGCGATCGCAACGCGAAAATTTTTTAAAGCGATCGAGACTCGCGATAAGATAACGTTTTTGTTTAAGTTTCGGAATCGATTTTTTTCCGCGATTTCTGCTTATTAAAATCCGCGATTCGCTTTAAGTTTCTTAAAAATCAAGAATTGAGAATCTCTCGCAGCATCTCACTGTAAACCCCAGCGTTTTCCATCACATCCAAGTCGGCTTTCCTGCTTCATTCGCCACGTAAACACGGCTCTCGCTCCGTAATCTCGCTCTGCTCATTCATATCACGTCGCGATCGCGTTCTTATCTTACAATCGCGACATGATACAGGATCACGGAGCGACTTCAGTACAAATGCTATTCACCGGTTTTTTTTGCTTATACGATAGTACATAACACACACTGATTTTAGAAAAATTGTTAAAATTTTCTCATATTTTAGTAATTAATTACCGTCAGAAATGGATGAGAATGGTAGTCAAAACAAAGGGATCGTGCCGGGACTAATATAAGTCTCGCGTAGCCGTGTCGCGAATTTGCGAATAGCGATTCATCTGCGTTCGCAGTAAGAGTAGCATGTGTGACTCATTTATTGTTAGCCGTCGAAAAACATGAATAAATTTCGATCGCGGTAAAATATTTGTGAGTAAAGACTGACTTTCATACGAGCGTGAGAAAATCGCGATCACTAAAAATCGCGTCTTATTTCGCGAGTCTGACAGCGAGCGTGTTACGCGATCTGGCAGCGAAATTTTTAAGAGGTTCGCGGTGCGACATGCGATAAGAAAGTGGACTTGGGGTTACCTTTTTGAGTTTTTAAGCAAAACAGTCTTTGAAATCTTATGGTGAAAGAATTATCCGGTTTGGTCGAGAAATGACTGACTTATGGTGGGTAGACTGAACAAGCTATTTCTATACCGTTCTTTCATTCTCTTTTCTACTGAGAAAGAGAATGTGACAAATGTGAGGCAAATGTCAATTGAAATGTATCTCACATATCTGTGTAGTTAGTTGTTCAGGGGAAAAAAAGTAGAATTAGTATGAATGAGAAACAAATTCTGTTCCTCAGTGGAACAGCTTTTTATGAGGAAAAAAATCATGCAGATGGCAGACCATCCTTCTCAATGACCGACATGCACTGAAAAGAAAAGGATTTCGGGAATTGAAACCATTTCTAAACCCTTTTTAGGTTTCGTAGAAATGTACGAAACCCTTAAAAAGATTTGTCAAGGATCTACGAAACGTTTTTAGATTTCCTAGGTTCAAGTTCCGTACATTCAAGTACATTCAAGTTCCGTGTCGTACCTTTTGTTTTCAGAGTGTAGAACATGTGATCCGCAAAATTACAGTTTCAGCTTTTTCTTCTAGTAATACCGTAAAAAAGGCGACAATTTTTCAGATTGTCTATTTGTCAAATACAACTGCTATAGTTTTTCTGATATATATCACCGCGGATACGGAAGTGTCGTATATACACACAAATATATGTTCTAAATAGAGAAAAGAAAAGAAGACGCTGTATTTGTACCTAGCCTGTGCGACGAATATCCAAGCAAACCAGGAGAGAAACAGTAAAAGAATAACATAGGAAATGAGTAAAGTACTTTAATGAGCATTTAGGGTTTTGAAATGCTCCTGTACCAAACGGAAAAAGGGTCCATTAGATAGATCTCAGCAAGTCTACTCTAGTATCCGAAGCATAATAGCAAGAGACTTGGGACTTTCTTAGATCTTCAGAAGACACTTCCGGCTATCAAGCTATGGAGAAATAAGTAGACAATTGTGTGAATTATTTTCTAACAGAAAGCTTTTTTTCAAAGATTTGTCTGGTATACCATCTGAAAATCCGATTTTCAAAACTTGTTTAGTAAAAAAAGATGCAGTGAGGTCTTGTCTATTCAATAATGAAAACCGAAGGCCTATAACTCTTTTCGTTCTCGGGTTATTCAACAAATAAACAGATGCCTTTTATTATGAAATAGATGGTAGTTCTATTTCCTGATCCAAACACATCTTCAATAAAATGATGAAGCTCTGCTGGTAGGACAGATGTGAGCTAATTGGTGAGCATCGAACTGCGCAAACGTGTCTGACTTAGCAAGAAAAGACAAGTTTGGAACTTTCATAGCTACCGACGACGGTTATTACTGGCAGACAAATAAAAAACTCGGGAAGGCAGTAAGAAAAGCGGTAGTATCTGTAATACTACCCGTACCACAGAAAGAACGTAGTACAGGGTGTTCCAAGAGTCCCATCGTAAATAAAAAATGAATATCTTTGCTATTTGTTAACTAAACTTCAAGTTTGTTTTTTTTGTTGGATATAGGAATGTTCCAAATTTTATTTAACACGATTGGATCTTTTTATTAATGCTTGAAAACAGTTTTGGGTTTATAATGGCGAAACCCAGGTTTTGCGGAACTGTTTCTTAATAAATTATGTGCTGCAAAACTTTATCGATGAAACAGAAACGATTCTTTATAATAAAATAAAGCGGATGATGCCTGCTGTCATAGTACAAAATAATTATATACTTTTGTTCAAAAATCACTAGGTGTCGATTTCTTTAGCCATAGATGTTTAGTAATAGCATCTGGGAAAGTGCAAAAATGTAATAAAAATTCTTTTCAGATAAAATTAACTAATCAGAGGAAAAACTGCTAGTGCAGTTTCGTACAAAGAAGGTAGTCCTACAAAGCGGAATAGTTTGAAAGTCTATAAAACGATGTATGAGGCTATCGAAGAAGCCAGAATCCGCAGATCACGTTAACAAAGAAAAATTATTTTCTTTTCGCAAAACTTCAAGTTGAAGCAAATATTTAAATATGTGGAATTGTAGAGCACTTCGAGTTCTACAAAATGAGACGTGGTACGACTCTAGCAAAGATCTTGCTCAGTTACGACAAGCTCCACAGTCTTTACTCACGATTTAATACGTATACAGAAAACATACTTTGTGAGTTTTATTACTTCCCCACACTGACGTTTTTTCAAGGGGGAAAAAGCGGACTCCTGGACTCCCATGGACTCCTATGGACTCCTATGAACTCCTATGGACTCCTGGACTTCCATGGACTCCTGAAGTCTAGGAGTCCAAGAGCAAAGTGTCCTTTTTTGGGAATCACTTCCCAAAAAAGAACAAACGTGTCCAATTTTTGGGAAGTGATTCCCAAAAAAGAACACTTTGCTCTTGGACTCCTAGACTTCAGGAGTCCATGGGAGTCCAGGAGTCCATAGGAGTTCACAGGAGTCCATAGGAGTCTATGGGAGTCCAGGAGTCCGCTTTTCCCCCCTTGCGCTTTTTACACAAAAAATTTCAATTAGATCAAGTAAAACTTGGAACATTCCTCTATCCAACAAAAAACAAACCTGAAGTTTAGTAAACAAATGACACAGATATTTGTTTTTTATTTCCGATGGGACTTTTGGAACACCCTGTATCTACTACTTCTCCTAATACGCTTTTTTAACGAAAATTAATTTTACACCGTTATGAAAGTGTTTTATTTGTCTAGTACTTATACCATCATGGACAACTGGAACAGAAATTTTTAGACCTAAGAAATGTTTGATGGTGATTATGAAACAGAAACTGTCTGTGCATTAGATTTCCCCACAAATGGACTACGAAATACATGTATCTACACATTTTCGTTTACTGTGGCATTTGTCATTGGCTGTTGCTGAAAAAAGCGAATATTCCATTGTTATGGAAATGATTCCCATGAAATGCAATCACAGTATTGTCTGAAAAATTTTGCGTACCAAAGTTACAAATTCCAAACTATTGAACAATGATCTTACGAGGATACCTGTGGATATATATACCTCCGTTTTCATTCATTTGTATACCAATCGATAGATGGCATCGAGGTTGTTAAAAGCCTAAACGAATTCATTCCCATAGCTCTTCCTTCAAAAGTTATGGCTATTTTTCTGTCCAGAAGAGGACTAGAGAGCTGAAATTTTCACTAGACATGGTACTTGCAGTCGCAGACGTTTCGAAAATAAAACAACCGACATTCCATAAGAAAATAAAACATCTCGCCGGTAAAATTCGTCCCGATATTGACGTACGGCTATACTGAGATCTCCCCCTCCATCTCAAACCTTTTTCCAAACAAAAGATCCTATAGCTATACCGAAACACTTACAATCATAAATTGTGTACTCTGCTAAATGTGGTAAGTGCATCCATAATTATCTTGAAAAAACTGAACGTCAGAGCACCAGAAGATTATGCGAACATGGAGCTTCGAAAGAAGAGTTTGATAAGTGTGACGTATATCCACCAGATAGTGTGATAGAAGAAGACGGTTCTGAATCACGAGATAGAGTCCGTCATAATTATTCTAAACGACGTACGAAACTCCTTCAAACTCAACCGCTCACACCTGAAGTTAGACGATCTTCTAGACTACTAGCTAAAGCACACACTGCTGATAATAGTAAAGCTGAGTGCAAGGAAGATGGATAAGATACAAAAGACAAATCAGCTATGGCCAAACATGAATCTGAAACTGGACATAAGATTGATTGGACCAATTTCAAAATACTATGGGGTGACAAAAACCCATATAGATTGCTCATTAAAGAATCATTAGTAATCAAAGATTATAAACCTTCTCTTAATTTGACAACACATTCAGTACCAATGATTGTGTATCCGGAATGCTTGCCGAGATGTTTGGTACCTGATCATAATCCCTAAGTCAAGCAACTTTTATGTAGTAAACACAAATATATGACATTCACTTACTACATTCATATTCAGTATCTCGGTTGTTTTTCTGAATTTTTCTTTAAAAGTAAAAATTCTATTCCGCTTAAAGTACGCAGAATTTGATGGCGCATCTTTCTGTACTAGCACTCTTTTTATTATAATACATTATATATTCGAAATCGCGGGCAAGGTTTTAAGCACATACTTTTTAGCACCAAAAACGCCCTAAATTGGGAAAGACCCTGTTTTCCTGCGAGTACTTGTCTAATCATGGTGAAAATTTGAGGCTATGGACAACTTTCGATGCTCTATCGAACTACGCAAAAATTAGTCATACATCATCAATTGTTGAGTTTTTTGACAATTCAGACTGATGGGTACCTTCTGCAGTGGTATAACTTGCAACAGCTATTTCTCTACCGGGACACATGGAACCGTCGAAACAATTTCAGCTTAAATGCAGTTTCATTCGCTCTACAATTTGGTTATAAAAAATCGATATCGTCGGGG